CCAGGCGGGTCTTGAACCCGCGGGCTCAGGCAATCCACTCACCTCAGCCTTCCAAAGGTGCGGGATTACAGGCTGAGCCACCGAGCCCAGCATTTAAAGAATAATTTATTTGGTTCCTACCAGCACTAATAAAATACTGAATTCATTTCAGAATAAGTAAATGCTATGCCTTAATAGGAAATAATATGAATATAATAGTAGGAATAAATCTTTGTTACCTTTATTCTTCCCAACTCAAACTGGAAAACATTGGGACTTGTAGCTTGTGCAAATACCGCAGGAAATAATTTTGTACTTGGCTCCACCTTAAACAAACAATTAAATTTAATAATATTAGCAAAAAAAAAGACAAAGAAAAAATTTTTTTATAACAACTAAGAAATACTTTACAGAAGGACAATGGAGATTTTCTTTTCTCACATATATCCATATGAATGGATGAAGAATATATATTCTTTCAATAATTAGTTGGAGCACTCATTACTATGGAACATTGTTGGAGGAATGTACCATTTACTCTGAAGAGCATATGGCACTGCCATGAATCAACAGAAGTAAACATATACAATTAACTAATTTGTTTCTATTCTCATTTAATTTCCAATTTATTCTTTTTAATTAACATAATTGTGCATTTTTACTGGGTGAAATATGATGTTTGGATACATGTATATGTTGCCAAATAATCCAGTCAGGGTAACTAGCATGTCCATCACCTCAAACATCATTTATTTGTGGAGAGAACATACCAAATCCTCTCTTCTAGCTATTTTGAAATATACATTATGGTTGACTATAGTTACCCTTCTGTGCACTAGGACACTAGCACTTATTCTTTCTTTCTAATTCTAACTCTATTTCCATTGACCATCTTCTCCCCATCCCCTACTTCCATCTGCTCTGCCCAGTCTCTGGTGGCCACTGTTCTATTCGCTACTTCTATGAGATCAACCTTTTAGATTCTACATATGAGTGGGAAAATGTAGTATTCGTCTGTGTCTGCCTTATTTCACGTAACAAAACATCCTCCAGGTTCATCCATGTTGTCGCAAATCACAGGATTTCATTCTTTTTATGGCTGAATAATATTCCATTGAGTATATACACCACATACTGTTCACCCATTCATCTGTTGATGAGCACTTTGGTTGATTCCATGTCTTAGCTATTGTGAATATTGTTGCTGTAAATATGGAAATGTAGATCTCTCTTTTACATGCTGATTTCATTTCCTTTGTATACTTATCTAGTCCTAGGATTTCTGGATCATATGATAATTCTATTTTTAATTTTTTTAGTAACCTCCATATCTTTCATAAGAGCTATATTAATTTACATTCTTACCAACAGTGTGTAAGGGTTTGCTTTTCTTCATGTCCTTGCCTACACTTATCTTTTCTAATTTTGATAATAACCATTCTAACTAAAATGTGGTGATATCTCATTTGGTTTTGATTTGCACTTTGCTGATGACAAGTGATATTGCGTATTTTTTCACATACCTGTTGCCAATTTGTATGTCTTCATTTGAGAAATGTCTGTTAAGGTCTTTTACCCATTTACAAATCAGATTATTATTTTTTGTACTATTGAGTGGTCTGTGATCCTCATATATTCCAGATATTAACCAATTGTCAGATGTAAGGTTTGCAAATATTTTCTCCCATTCTATAGATTGCCTTTTCACTTCATTGTGTATTTCCTTTGCTGTGGAGACGCTTTTTAGTTTGATAAAAATCCCACTTACATAGTTTTGCTTTTGTTGCCTTGGCTTTTGAGGTCTTATCCAAAAAATCCTTGCCCAATCCAATGTCATGAAATGTTTCTCTTATGTTTTCTCCTAGTAGTTTCATAGCTTTGAGTCTTAAAGTATTTCATCCATTTTGAGTTGATTTTCATATGTGGTGAAATATAAGGGTCTGGTTTCATTCTTCTGCGTGTGGATATCAAATTTTCTCAGCATTATTTATTGAAAGATTGTCCTTTCCTGAATCTATGTTCTTGGCACCTTTGTTAAATCAGTTGGTTGCACATATGCGGGTTTGTTGCTGGGCTCTTTGTTCAGTTCCATTTGTCTAAATGTCTGTTTTTATGCCAATATCAAGCTGCTATGGTTTCTATAGCTTTGTAGTATATTTTGAAGTCAGGTAGTGTGATTCCTACAGCTTGTTTTTTATTTTATTTGTTTTTTGATCAAGATTGCTTTGGCAATACAGGGGCCTTTGTGGGTCCATATTAATTTTAGATTTTTTTTTTCTATCATTGGTATTTTGATATGGAATACATTGAATATGTAGACTGCTTTGGGTAGTATGGTCATTTTAACAATATAAATTCTTCCAATCAGTGAATAAGAAATATCTTTTCATTTTTTTGTCATCTTCAACTTCTTTCACCAATGTATTATTGTTTTTAGTGCACAGGTCTTTCACATCCTTGGTTAAATTTATCTCTGTATATCTTATTTTTTTGGTAGCCACTATAAATGAGATTGTTTTCTTGATTCCTTTTTCAGAGAGTTCACAACTAGTGTATGGAAAGACTGCTGATATTGTATCCTGTACACTTACTGAATTCATTCATTTATTAGTTCTAACAGTTTTTTAGTGGACTTTTAAAGGTTTTCTATATGTAAGATCATGTCATCTGCAATCAGCGACAATTTACTTCTTTTCCTATTTGGATGACTTTTATTTTTTTCTTTTGCCTGGCTGCTCGGGCTCGGACATCCAGTACTCTGTTAAACAGAAATGGTGAAAGTAAGCATCTTTGTCTTATTCCAGATCTTAGAAGAAAAGCTTTTCACTTTTCCCCATTTAGTCCTGGACTTTTTCTGATGGAGACTTTTCATTACTAATTAAATTTCCTCACTTATTATTGATCAGTTAAGATTTTTTAAAATTTCTTCATCAGTCAGTCTTCTTGGTAGGCTGTATATGTCCAAGAATTTACTCATTTCTTCTAGGTTATCCAATTTGTTGGCATGTAATTGCTCATAAAATTTTCTTACGATCCTTTATATTTCTGTGGTATTGGTTATAACAAGTCCTTTTTCACCCATGATTTTATTTATTTGAGTCATCTTTTTCTTTCTTAGTCTGGCTAAAGGTTTGTTGATTTTACCAAAAAACCATTTCTTCGTGTCATTTATCTTTAGCATTTTTTAAGTCTCTATTTTGTTTATTAGATGCTCCTATCTTTATTATTTCTTTCTTTCTTACTAGTCTTGGGTTTGGTCTTTATTTCTAATTTCTTGGGTTCAATGTTAGGTTGTTTACTTGAGATTGTTCTACTATGCTGGTGTAGGTATTTATTATTATAAACTTATCTCTTAGATTAGCTTTTACTGCATCCCATATGTTTTGGTATGTTGTGTTTCCTTATTTGCTTGTCTCAAAACATTTTAAAATTTCTCTTTTAACTTGCTCATTGACTCACTGGCTATTCAGGAACATGTTTAATTTCCATGTATTTATAAAGTTTCCTTGGTTCCTGCTGTTATTGATTTCTAATTTTATATTGGAGTGTTCAAAAAAGATATTTGATACGATCTCTAGCTTCTTAAATTTGTTAAGACTTGTTTTGTGGCCTAACATATGATCTATCCCAAAGAATGTTCCATGTAGTTGAGAAGAATGTGTATTCTGCATATGTTAGATAGAAAGATCTGTAAATATCTATTAGGTCTCCTTGGTCTAGAGTGCAGTCTAAATCTGCTATTTCTTTACTGAATTTCTGTCTGAATTATCTGTCTATTGTTCCAAGTGGTGTGTTGAGGTCCCCAACTACTATTGTATTGCAGTCAATCTCTTCCTTTAGATGTAATAACATTTCCTTTATAATTTGGGTATTCTAGTATTAGGTACATGTATATTTATAGCTGTTAGATTCTCTTGCTGAATTGATCTCTTTATTGTTACATAATGACCTTTTCTGTCTCTTGATACAGTTTTTTAAAATTTAAAGTCTAGTTTATATAAGTATGGCTATTTCTGTTCACTTTTTGCTTCCATTTGCATGGAATATCCTTTTAGATCTCTTCAGTTCAGTTTACATATGTCCTTACGGGTCAAACAAGTCTCTTGTGGGCAGTGCAGACTTTATCTTTTTATCCATACAGTCATTTTATAACTTTTGATTGAAGAATTCAATGCAGTTATACTAAAAGTTACTACTGATCAGCCAAAAATTAGTTCTGCCATTCTGTTAACTGTTTTCTAGATTTGTTGTTTCTTCCTCTCTTGTTTAACTTTTGTGGTTTAATGGTTTGCTGTGGTGCTAAGCTTTAATTCCTTTCTCTTTATCATTTGGGTGTCTGTTGCAACTTCTTTTTTTGTGGTTACCATGGGAATAACATAAACAATACTGTAGTAATACTGAACTATTTTAAGCTGGTAACAACTTAATTTTGGTCACACAAAAACACTTTAGACTTTTACCTTCCCCTTTCACAATTTATGTTTGTTGTCTTAATTTACATCTTTATATATTGTGTGTTCCTTAATAACTACTTGCAGCTGTAGGGTTTTTTTACCATTTGACTTTTAACATTCATTTAGAGTTTGGAAAGATTTACACAGAATCATTTTAGTACTGTAGTATTCTGAGTTTGATTATGAAATTACTTCTAATGATGAGTTTTATACTTTCACGTGTTTTCATAATAGTACAGAGTCTCCTACATACAAACAAGTCCCATTCCAAGTGCACATTTGTAAGTCCAACAAAGTTGGCCAACAAAGTTAGTCAAAAAGTTACCCAACTGATATAGTTGACTATATAGTACTGTACTATAATAGGTTTATAATACTTTTCACACAAATAGTAAATATTTTTAAAAAGAGTAGTGTAAAATATACAAAAGCACAGCCAGTTGTAGAAGGTGCATACACGTGATAATGTATGCCAGACTCATGAACTAACTTATGTGATTGGACATGTGAATGCATGTACACATCCTTGAAAGTTCACAACTTAAAGGTTTGTATGCAGAGGACATACTATAATTATCATATTTTTGCTTCTAGTTGTAATTCTGCCTTAACCATTTCCTGTAAGGCAGGTCTAGTGTGACAAATTCACTCACACACTAGTGTGAATTTTGCTAGAGTGAATTTTGTTTGTCTGGGAAGTACTTTATTGCTCCTTCATTTCTGAAGTAGTGCTTTGCTAGAAGTAGTATTTTTGACTGACATTGTTTCCTCTTCAGTACATTGAATGTATCATCCCATTCTCTCTTGGCCTTCAAGGTTTCTGCCAAGAAATTTGCTTATAGTCTAATAGAAACACCATTATATGTGACTTGGCACTATTCTTTTGCTGCTGTTAGAATCCCGTCTTTATCTTTAGCTTTTGAAGATTTGATTAGAATGTGCCTTGGAGAGGTTATTATTGGATTAAAGGTATTGGGATCTTTTAAGCTTTCTGAATCTGAATGTGTATGTCTGTCCCGAGACTTGGAACATTTTTAGTTATCATTTATTAAATACATTTTGTGTGCCTTTTTCCATTGTCTAATGGTGTCCCATAAGTCCTGTAGGTTTTCTTCATTCTCTAAAAATTACTGCTTGTTTCCTCCTCTGAGTGAGTTATTTATAAAGATCTGTTTTCAAGTTCAGAAATTCTTTCTTCTGCTTGATCTAGTCAGTGTTGAAGTTCTCAGCTATATTTTATTTCATTTATTGAATTATTCATTTCCAAGATTTTGTTTCTCTTTTTAATGATATATTTTTGTTAAATTTCTCATTCATATCATGAATTGTTTTTCTGATTCTGTTGATTTATTTATCTATATTATCTTGTATCTTGTTGAGTTCCCTAAAGATCATTATTTTCAATTCTTTTTCAAGCATTTTGTAAATTTCCTTTTCTTTGGAATTACTGAAAAATTATTGTATTCCTTTGGAGAAGTTATGTTTCTTTGCTTTTTTGTATTTCTTATGTCTTTGATATCTGCTCATCTGGTAAAAATAGTCATCTCTTCTAATTTTATGGAGTAACTTTTGTAGGAATCACTTTTTCCTATAGATAGGCCACAGGGCTTCTGTAGGGTAGGACATATTGGCTTTGGTTCTGGGTAGATGTAATAGTGTAGTATCTGTGCATATTCTTCAGCTGTAACCCATGTCAACGGTGTATGTAAGTGCCTCAGTAGCCTAGACTGTGAAAATCTGTGGCAGTGAAGAAAGTATGGCTTTGCTGAGGCAGGATCTCCAGGTTGGTTCTCAGGCTGGAGACGCAATGGCTGGGAAAGCTTGAGGGCAGTCTTGCCAGGGGCACACACGCATATATCTAATTTGCTTTTTGATCTTACAAAAATGTGTTTTCCTTTAATGGGGAAAAAAGATTTTCCTTCCTAGAAGCATGACACCATCACTGACCACGTACCTGATAGTATGTGCTCAGTTCCTTGCCATTGGCAATAAACGTGAGCAACCCGCTGGCAGCATCCACCACACAGCCGATCTCCAGTCCATTATTGTTGCGTCCTTGCCCAGGGCTCATGCTCTCACCAGCACATACCATATAGCAGTTGCTGCGTTTGATGCTGAATTTCAAAGAAAACATTTTTATCCTTTGCACGACCATAGATAAAAGAAAAAGCTTGTATCTCTTGCAAACTAACTAAATTATGCTGCGCAAGCAACAAGCTCATGCTGCAATGAGAGAGGTGCACAATGGGCCCGATTCTGTGACTCTGAGCAAAACTCCTTTGACTGCAGTGGACATTCTGAATCAGGTCTTATCCGTCTCTACGTTTCATACCTAATAAAGGCAGGTCAACAAGTTTGAACCAAATAAGAACTGACCTGTACCCTCTCTCCAAAAACTCAAACCAAACTGGACCTTTTTCTGAGGTTCAAAAAAGTTTAACTATTTAAAAATCATCCAATTTTGTCATCTTCATCTCATTTTTTAACCTCTTCTTCTGAAGAAACATTCAATCTCAAACACTATAAAAATCCTTAGGCAAACTCTACATGAGCCATTAGTGATTCAATGGATTTAAAATCTGGCTAAAATTTTGCCCCTTTATGGACAATTTCCAGTGATCTGAGAGACAGACTTAACTAGAATATACACAAGATCAGTGATATTAACAGCAAACCCCACATTATTTTCACCTTCCCCAAAGCCTTTACTAGAGATGGTAACAAAGTTAAGTGATTTGAGCTTCATTTCTATTCCATTTCTCTGCCACTGTATAGTGAAAATATTAACAAGACTAGCAAAAAAGGCCAAAGCCAGGCAAGCAGAAGGAAAAGAACAAAAAGGCTGGGATAAAGTCTGTTTCTGAATAAACAAATGCAGCCTGCATTTCTTCACAATATGTACACAAGATTCAACGATCCTTCTCTACCCTCTATTTCCTACAACAAAATCACCTTTCAGTTATCCCATCCCTATATTGAGTTCTTTTCTTATATTGTTGCCATCTCTGAAAATTAAATGTGTCCCCCAAAGAATATTCCCAGAGACATGTGGTTGTGTCCCATAATGATGTAAAGAACTTTTCATTCAAGATTTTTGCTAGTCCCCCATTGCAAGTGCTAAGTCCATCACATTTCAGATGTTACAACCAGAGGACAGGAAATTGAGTTTCACAATCACCAAAGATGATGGTGCAGGTATAGAGGAAAAGCAACATTATAAAAGACTCTTTGTGAGACTTGTCACAGCGGATCAGGGAGGAAGCATGGGCACAAAAGGTAGAAGCAAATGGTCAGATCTTCTCTTGTCTTATTCTGCAAGGAAGATACCCTTCTTCACTTTTTTGAAGGTTTGGTTTGAGTTTGGTTTTGTTTTACAAATGAAAAAGGATGGCACAGAAAGTGTAACTGACTTACCCAAAGCCACACAGCGAGTCAATGGCAAAGCTGAGGAAAGAATCCACTACTCCTCAGTCTGAGTTCAAATGTGTCCACCTGGGCTAAACCACTAGCCATATTTTCTTCACATTTTTCTCCCCACCAAAAAAAGCCAGTTCCCAAGACACATTATCATCATATGTTAAATGCCTCACTTTCACCCATTTCTAGTCTCTAAAACAAAGGCTAGGTATTGACAACCCAAGTTGCTAATCATGTTACCTGAAGGAATATACAATCATTACCCCAAAAGGATGCACTGCTTTTACTTACTGAATAATGTTTTTCGCTATTAATATATTTAGATTCCTCACTGGTTTGTATGAGTAACAAAAAGGACACTGACATTAATGGATTGATTATATTGTTCCTATAAATAGAAATGTCTTGGTCACAAAATCCAAGAAAAAAGAATACCTAGATATACCATTTTTTTTTCAGATGTTATTCTTGTAAAAAATCAAGGAAAACCAACCTTTCATGCACTTTTCCTTTTTCATCTCCTAGGGTAACTGTTACTGTACGAACTCTGTCCAAGTCAAAGCCTGTATCATACTGATGGAAATCTGATGTAATCCAGCCCACCCAGACATTAGCAGGTTCTTGTCCAGGAAAGATTCTCACTGAGTAATAGTACTGCCAAGATAGCAAAACCAAATGTTGGCAAAGTAAAACAAAAGAAAACACTGATTTGCAATGCTAACTGTTCTCTGAGACTTCGAATTACAAGAAAATATATATTTTATTTCAAACCATTTGGCTTAATTAAAATGTTGTAGGCACAACCTAAGAAATGTCTCATATTCAAGATCCTAAATTAAATCTTAAATGACAAGATGGGAAAGAGAAAAAAGACTATCTGAGCAAACATACTAGTTTGAGGCTCTTATGTTCCCGAACATGTATGTATGTGTGTATATGCATATATAAATGTGTACATACATACAGTATATGTCATAAAATCATTAATACATTAAGCAGGTTTGCTTCAAATTCTTCAAGCTTGTGCAAGTACACAAATCTATGCGACAGAGCATATATATACATACACACACACACATATGTCACCCACCTATTTGCTTATGCTTGGCTTTTCCTATCTCTGACATACAATATTTTGACACTTTAAAATCACTTTGAAATAGTTCAGACATAACACATGAACATCTACAACGGGCACTATATATTTTTTTTCCAACTGGCATTCAAAGGAAATAGTTTTGAAAATTTTAAACGGCAGAGAGAGCACAATAGTTGCACTCTACTAAGTATGACAAATGATCTTTCAGACAATTCACTAAGATGAAGAAAATGATATGTACTTGGAAAATTCAAGTGTAATTGAAAAATCATGTCAAGAAATAGGAGAGTAAAATCAGAATTATTGATGCCATTAAGGATATTTTTTCCTAAAATAGCTCCCTTATTATACATAATAAACACCACAATACACCCACTTTTAGTGAATTTTCAGTCCCGAAAATATATCTAAAAATAGAAGTATTTAAAAAATAATGTTGCTAAATACAATGAATCAAAGCATACTACTTGAGACAGAAAGCATAATAGATGACAAACAGATACATGGCAAAAGCTGCAACCTCATACCGTGGATGTCTGCATCAAGTAATCATAGTCATCCCGGTCGTCAGCAAGGACATCTTCAGTGAGTCTTGCAGAATGGCTTGTACTGTAATCTGGCTTTGTTCTTCTAAGCAAAAATCTGAAATATATTAGAAGACTAAAAATAAGCAACATTAAAATGTTCTGCCCACTTCAACCATGAGCACATAATCAATTCAATCATCTTAACCAGGGCAATTTTGCTGTCTTGGGGACATCTGAGAATACATAGAGATAGTTTTGATTGACACAAGGGAGGTGGGAAGAAGGAGTGTTGGCATACAATGGGTGGAGGACAGGGATGCTGCCCCAGCATTCTTCAGTGCCCAGGGCAGTCCCCACAACAGAGAATTGTTTGACCCAAAGTCAAACAATGAGTGATTTAGGGTAAGAAAGGGTGCTAAAATAACTTGCCTTCTTCACCATGAAAAATATTATTTAGAGAAAACACTCTAAATCTCAAGCCAGAATATAAACACAGACATGCTTAAAAGTAATTTTGGGGATAGATTATACCTGCGCTAACAAATTAGATGACCAAGTGAGTTGCTTTATTTTCTACCGTAGAAAGCTTTGCATTAAAAGGAAAGCTGGGCTCGGTGGCTCAGCCTGTAATCCCGCACCTTTGGGAGGCTGAGGTGAGTGGATTGCCTGAGCCAGCAGGTTCGAGACCCGCCTGGGCAGCAAGACCTCATCTCTACAGTAAATCAAAAAATCAGCCAGTCGTGGTAGCACATGTCTATAATTCCGGCTACTTGGAAGGCTGAGGCAGAAGGATCGCCAGAGCCCAGCAGGTCGAGGCTGCGGTGGCCGGGAGTGGCCACTGCACTCCAGTCGGGGTGACAGAGTGAGACTCCAACTCAAAAAAAAAAAAAAGGTTTATGCAAGGAGAAGAAGGAGGCACAAATTAAACAAGGAAATCCCTTACTCTCTCCTGGAACCCTCCTCTCATGATAATCACATATTTGAAATCATACTGTATATATTAGTGACCTTTGTTTCAGACGAGAGGGCTTTTCCTGAGCATAGTCCTTGTGGTTATTAAACTCTGGTTTAGTAGCTTCTTTGTCTTTGTCAACACGATCGGGTACCAGATGGCCATGAGCTGTCTTCATTAGAACCTCAAAGTCGGAATCTGCGTCATAATCCTCCAAATCATTCTTGGGCCCAAAGAGGCTGGCACCAGGGAGTCCTCCAGCCACAGACTTAGAGAAGACTTCTGCGCACTCAATTGGCATGCTCAGACGATAAAACATGATATCAGTACTGCTGTTCTGAGACCCAAAAGACTTCTGGGTGACCTTCAAACATGGGGAACTGTCTATGGTGCCATCTATTCTGGTCACCTAGCAGATGAAGAAGTAATAGTTCATAATCTAATCACCATTGTGAACTTCCTAATTCTAAACACGACTAATACATATTACCTTTTCAGAATTCCAAAAATGGTCCATGCATGGTATCATTTTGTTAGAGACAATTGAACATGGAGTACTCTGCTATGGATATATTCATAGAGTTCTGCTTTCTAACTCTAAAGATGATTTGGGAAATTCATGCTTCAATTACACATATTCAGATTTGGTCTGACATTACCTATATAAAAAAGGAAATTATCCTTAATCAGTCTAATAAGCTATTTGTAAAAGCATCTAATAAAAGAGACTTTGCTGTTGGACTCGGTGGCTCAGCCTGCAATCCCAGCACTTTGGGAGGCCGAGGTGAGTGGATTGCCTGAGCCTGCAAGTTTGAGACCAGCCCAGGCAACTTGGCGATACCTCGTCTCTACAACTGAAAAAAAAAACAAAAAAAACGAGCCAGACATGGTAGCACATGCCTGTAGTTCCGGCCCGGCTACTTGGAAGGCTGAGGCAGAATAATCACCAGAGACCAGCAGGCTGATGCTGGGGTAGCCGTGAGTGTGCCACTGTACTCTAGTCTGGGCAACAGAGTGAGACTCCAACTCAAAAAAAAAAAAAAAGAGAGAGAGAGACATCGCTTAGATTCTCCACTACTATATAACACTCCAGGGTCATCATTTTAAGTAAGTTATAATAATTATCTAAGCAGAAACTCTCTTGTATATTATTTTCCTATTTTTTAAAAATGGCCTAATTTTTAAAGAAAAGGCAAACCTCAATATGTTCATGGTTTGATGGAACTTGGAGAAATTGAGGCAGTCTCTTGCTCAGCCACATGGTAATATCCCTGTTTGTGTTAACGGCAAATGGTTCATAGCCCTCTTGTAAGCCACAGATGGTGAAATATTTCAAGGTGCTGACATCCTTTCCAAAGTTCATTCTGCCCACTTGAGCCACTCCAAGGCTACATACAGGTATGAATCCTGGGAAGAAAAAAAAATCAAGAGTTTCAGTACCTTTAGTATGAGATCCCATTAGTACAGAATTACCACACATATTGCTCCAGGACATACTTATCTTGGTGAGAACCCTCACCCTAGGATGAAATCAACAGTTTAATAAGAGAACACTGACATCAATTATTAAATGTAAATATGAGAAGACCAGAATTTGATCTTGGCATCATAATTTACTAATTTGAATTAGTGGCCCTAACTATGGGCCAACAAATATGTCTCTTTTCTCACCCCAGACTTATTTTGTAAGATAAAGTAACTTCTAAACAGTCCCTGATCCTCCAAGGATTCTAGAGTGTTCAGTCGTAAAAGGAGATTCCTTCCTTGCTCAGGGGTGTATGTCTTTTGACTTATACAAGGAAAGTGAGAAAGAACTAGTGACAAGGGATATGGTTCTCTTTGCCTTTCCCTTCCATCTAGCTAAATAGCTTGATACTTACAAACAGTAGACATGGACTGAGATATGAATTTCTTCATATATAACCCAAGAAAAAAATAATTGGAATGTTACGCAGCCATAAAGAAAAACAAAATCATGAACTTCGCAGATGGAATTAGAGTTTATAATACTGAGTGATCTTTTACAGAAACAAAGATCTGAGTATCACATGTTCTCACTCATAAGGGGACCTTGAACAACTACTGTAATACTATAATAAAAGGATTGACAGTAGCTGGAAATTACGGGGGAGGGCAGGGAGGTGGGATTGACAGTAGTCGAGATCTTCCTGGGGGGAGGGGACACACAATGAATATTTGTATACTTGACCCCGAATTGTATCCCACAATTTAATACATAAATCAATAAATAAAACAATAGCGATAATAATAATAATTGGAGGCAAAACTTTAATAATTTTCCAACCACCGATAGCTGCTTTTGATCTTTGAAGATAATTTTGCCTCTTTTCTTCTGGAATAAACTAAATCTAAACATGGGGAAATATGTACCTATAAATATTTATTTGTAAATTATATATTTATATGTAATAGCAATCGAGTAAAAACCAATAAAATATTTTAGAAGCTCTTCTAATGTGTGGGAAGTTAGCAACTCTTTCTATAAAATTGAACAAAAAGGGGAAACTATACTAACTTGTTAATTATTTCTTTGAGTTCTTGGACTCAACTGTAAGACAATGAAATTATATTTTTGGAAAGAGGACAAGATTTTTTTTTTTGGCAAGGGGATGAGATGATATTCTTTGGGAGTGGGTGTTTACGTACTTCTCATTTTTTTCCATAATGTTTTACATGAATGTTCAAGTAGTCGGCACAATAAACAAAGTCAGTATTGAAACAAAGACTACAAATTACAGAACCTAATTTATAGATCAAAAAAAAGAGAAGTTCCTAACAATTAGTCAATGATTTCTTACAGGAATTGCAGTTAGTTCTACCATTATAATTTACATTTTTCTCTTACTGAAATTAATGGCATAAAAGGAATATAAAACCCCCCAAATAGCATAACAGGATAAAAATTACACCCAATAATTCATAATGATTTCACCCAGTTTGTATTAATTAGTATACAGTCAAATGAATGGTTGTACAGCAGTGCTACTAACCAGGAAAAAAAGAACATAGCCAGCTGTGTTCAAGGAACTGTAAATGATGAGTTTCTAGTTAAAACTAAAAAACTGCAGCTGTGTCTGCAGCTGTGCCAGCTCCGGATGCAGTAGTCAAGGAAAGTTGTTTTAAACAAATATCCCCAAAGGAATCAAACAAAAAGGATTAGATAAATACAATAGACTGAGACAGCTTGAACTGAACAAGCACAAATTACCAATTCCAACATCCACTTAACATACACTAGAAGATACCAAGATAGAAACATCTCCTCAGATGGTAAATATCTATTTCTTTCTAATACTTTATTTGTAGAAATTCCTAGTCTATAAGAAAGTTATTGGATACCTGTAAATATCTGCATAGTAGACCTTTGAGTATTTGTTATACTAATACTTGGATTTCCTGTATATCTAAAATATTTTCATTAAAAACATTAAGTGACTAGTAATATGCACAAGAATTTATGTCCTAAACCACTCCCTATAGCTATCTTTACAATTCTAGAATAGTTTTGATAATAAATATACTATTTTCATGAGACGGGATATGATTTAGCCTTTGAAAATTTGGTTTTCAAAGATTCATTAATATATATAGGAAAATATTCACAGCAAACATTATTGAAAGAAAGATATAACATATAGTCTTTTTCTTTTTTAATTTTAGAGTTGTGGGGTACAAGTGAGGACTTCCTACATAAGTAGGTTTCATGCAGGTGAAGTCTGGGTTTCTAGTTGGCCCTCTCTCTATATAGTTTATTTTTAGGTTAAAAAACCACACACACACACCACTAGGTTTTTTGGTTTTTTTTAATAAAAATGTTTCAGAGTAGTGGCATTTTTATGACTTTTTATTGTCTTTTTTATGTCTCTCAATTTAACAAATTTTTTTCAATGAATATGAATTTTATTATGAAAACAAGGGATGGCTTTCATTTGAAAAATTCATTTAGTAAGATGAAACATACCTCCATCTTTCTTATAGAGAAATTTATAACAGTGGTATGGATATAAAATGACATCTTCAAGTTTTAACACTCAATATTAGTGGGTGGTAAGTTTACTAACAGAAATCCTAATCAGATTAAACTAGTACAAGAATTATGTAGGCCAACTTGTTAATATGCAATAACCATTCATTTCTTTATTCAATAAGTATTTATTGAGAACTACTGTGTGCAGAAACTAGGAATACAAAATAACTAACACAGATCCTGGCCAAAATGTTCTCACAGTCTAATGAGGCAGAAAGAAAAGTAGAGAAGTTATACCAAAATAACCTACTACCTATCTAAGCAGACAGGGCACTAGGAACAAAGGAAGGTGGAGAGACAAGAAAGGTTTTGCAGAAGAGCTACCATCTAAGAAGACAGCATACAGGCAGTCTACAAAGTGATTAAAAACACAGATGCCCAAGTCCAGTTCCAAACCAGGATTCACATCTTAGTTTCACCACTTATCTATCCGACCTTCCACTAAACACTCAAATTCTCTCAGCTTTAATGCTATCTTCTGTAGCACCTATCTCACAGGTTAGAATTTTAAAATGAGATCCTGTATGTATGCTGCTTAGCTTGAATGCTAGCTGATCAATTTAAAATGAAAAAATTGATCTATTCATAATAAGAGAATGGTTAACTATGATACATACACAAGATTAAATATGTGCAGTCATTAAAAATTGCCTTTTGGGCGCATCAAAATACAACTGTACAGAGAGATAACCTCAATATGGCAAAATAAAAACAATTGATGATTTCAGGTGAAGGATATACGAATGTTATTGTACCATTCTTGAGCTTTTCTGAAGGACTGATATTTCTCAAAATAAAAAAAAAGAAATTGGTAAGGCTGGGCACAGTAGGTCACACTTATAATCCCAGCACTTTGGGAGACTGAGGCAAGAGGATTACGCAGTCTAATGAGGCGGAAGGACAAGTAAAGAAGTTACTTGTTCCAGACTGGCCTGGGCAACATAGCAAGATCACATCTCTATAAAAAAATAAAAATTAAAAAATTAACCGGTTGTGATGGCATGCACCTATCCCAGTTACTTAGGAGACAGAAGTGGATTGCTTGAATGCAGGAGTTCAAAGTTACAGTGAACTATGAACACACCAGTGCATTCCAGCCTGGGTGAAAGAACAAGAACTTGTCTCTTAAAAAAATAGCTGGTTAAAAAAAATTATGTTTAAAATGTTTTATCCTTTAGACAACATTTATAACAAGTTAAAAAGGGAGTGATGGACAAAGAAAAAGAAATCATTTTATCAAAACGATACCCGCATTCATATATTTATCACAGCAGTATTCACAATAGAAAAGTCATGGAATCAACCTAAGTGTCCCTCAATGGTTGACTGGATAAAGAAAATGTGGTGTGCAGACACCATAGAATACTCCACAGTCATAAAAAAGAATGAAATAATGTCCTTTGCAGCAATATGGATGAAGCCGGAGGCCATTATCCTAAGTGAAGAAACTCAGAATCGTAAAATCAAATACCTCATGTTCTCATACACAAGTAGGAGCTGAACAGCATATGGGGTACACACAGATATAAAGATGGAAATAACAGACACTGGGAATTTCCAAAAGGTGTTGGCGGGGGCTGAGGGATGGAAAACTACCTATTAAGTACAGTGTTGACTGTTTGGGTCATGCAGTCACTAGAAGTCCAATGTCAGCATTAAACAATATACTCACGCAACAAACCTACACATGTACTCCTTGAATCTAAACTAAAATTTTAAAAAATAAATTTAAAATTTAAAAGCGAATTATGGAAAATTCTTTTTACGATATCATCGCAGTTCTTTAAATGGAAGAAAAATGCATTAAAAGTCAGTTTTTTCTCTCTGGGTAGTAAGAATATACATACTTTTCAACAATTTCCATAATACTCCTCTGCATTCTTCAAATAATCAACAAGAATATATTACCTTTATGAAAAACAAATACATGTCTTTTTTCATTAGTTTACAGCAGTTATACCGGTAGATATTTTTCATTTACCTTTTTTTGGCACCCTTTAAAAGAATATATTTATGTAAATATGTCACTGAGTAGAAACTCTTTTTAATTTAAACGAAGTAGAAGTTAGCAAAAATTAAGTTATATTCTGTCTTCTGAAATCATAGTTTTAAAACTCCAGTGTAATAAAACACCCAATATTTCTAGAAACTATCTTTACTTTTTAGAATTAGCATATACAAAGCAGAAACAACCAAATGGCAATGGAGTCAAAGAAAATAACGAGTGGAAAAAAACTACAGGTACTGTTCAGCCCCCGCATAGAGAAAGGACCAGGCTTTTGTCACCTCCATGTGTTCAGTACTTGGCAAAGTTTCCTGAATCACGAAGATGCTGACAATAAATGAAAAACCCAACACA